GGGGGGTTGCCAGCCAGTCCCCAAAAAATTTGGGGGGGGCGGGGCACAGCGTCCACGAACCCCCGTACGCAAACCCCTTAGCCAATGACCGTTTGGACATGTTTTAAAATGTTGTGCTTATAAGAGGAATTGAGACAAATCGGGAAGATTATTTACAAAGCAGTCTTTCGTGGTAGAAGTGATGGTTCGACCATACTTGTAACAGCTTTAGCTATATGGAGTATACACAAGACTAGATAATGATCCGAGATATCATCACTCTGCTGCAGAATATCAACGCCATTAATATCAATTCCATGTGACGGTATTAAATCTAGAGTATGATTTCGACAATGAGTAGGTCCTGACACGTGTTGTCTAACCCCAGTAGAATTCAGAATGTCTATGAATGCTGATCCCAGTGCATCTTTTTCGTTATCAACATGGATATTAAAATCACCAACAATTAAGCCAAGCTTTATAATTTGTTTCTGTATTATATACATTTTTTTTTATTTGTTGAACATCAATTAAATTGTTACTCTTAAATTGGTTTGGACGTTTTTTTGTATTTTCTAGTTTGGTGAACAGACACAATCTCTATAGTGTGATATCTATGTGAATGGGTCTCTATGTGCTGAGAATGAACTGACTTCTGTGACGTGAGGCAGCTAGCAGACGGTCGGTTTAAAACTCGTCCATTTGTCTATAAAACCTATGTTATTCTACGGGCACCACTTAGACATCCAGCCATTGAGTGACGACAGTCTGCTATGTATCTCGTCGCCACGGTAACCAGGGAGGGGACCAGAGCATATAACAGTGTCTGACATCGTACTTGCAAGTTCACACACCTCTTTAATGTTATTTTTAGTGATCTCCGACTAGCGAAGTCGAACATCATTAGCGCTGACGTGGATAACAATCTTACTGAATTTACATTTGGCATTAGCCAGCACTTTTAAATTTGCCAAGATGTCAGGCACTCTGGCTCCCGGTAGACATTGGACTATGGTGGCTGGTGACCTATTTTCACGTTCCATACAATAGAATCGCCAATAACTAGAGCACTTTCATCAGGTTTCTCAGTGGGTTCATCACTGAGTGGGGAGATCCTGTTTGATGTTTTGATCGGAACGGAAGAGCAATGTTTTGACCCATGACTATGCCGCCTCACAGTCACCCAGT